TTCTACCGTAGACCTTCGTTTTATCGAGTATATTCCCATTGAACTATCGTTTCCTTTTGGATGCGACCCGGAATCGCACTCCTGCTAAGTATACTAGGTACGGGCCAGGTTGTACCAATTGGTAGAACAACTACCTGAGTTGAGTACAGATCATTATTTCAACAGCAGATGCGTAGGACAATGTTTACTTTTCTAAAATGAGATCACCTCCATGTCTACTCTGAGTACTAGACTGTATTTCGACGGTTGCAAAGTAAATGGGGCTGTAGAGTTGCGTCGCACATGTCCCATCCCCCCCCCCCCCTCCCCCCCGATTCGCACTGGCTGCCGAAGCTTACGCAAACATGGCAGTTACATCGACGGGCTTCTGGATGAAATACAACGGCTCAAGAGTCAGGTCGCCCGGCACACCTCGTGCTCCACCTCTGCGCAAGACCATGTCGTCACTCAGGGCAGCCGCGCTGGCAACAGAGCAATGACGCCGTTGTCTGGCCGGGGTAATGATGGCGAAGAGGCGGCGGCGAGTGCGGCTCTCGAAGTGAAGCCGTGGTTCATCAACGCAAATGTCTTCCGCACGCCGATCCTGATAGGAGAGGTCGCCGACCCCGCATTCTCAACCCGCATCCGCCAGGTCATCTCCGACCCCTTTTCTCTCCAGCCCCGGCACATGCTCCGGGTCAACTACGCGCCAGACACGGAGCTAATGTCCCTCGTCAAGTCCGACATCTCCTGGCCGACCCCGTCGAGGTCCCGCTTCCTCGTCGAGGTCGCGCTCAAGTACGTGAGCCATCGCTATCACGTCGTGCGCCGGAGTCTGGTCATGGAAAACCTGGAGCAGAGCATCCACAACCCTTCGTGGGGCCATCTCATGCTCAGGTCCAAGCTGTGGGCGCTGTTCGCCATAGGGGAGCTCTACTCGACGCGGTCCATCCCCTCCGAGAAGGAGTTTCCCGGCATGGCCTATTTCGCCAAGGCGTCCAGGATCCTCGGTGTGCTCGATGAGCGTCCCGGGACGGATTCCATTGAGATTATACTCCTGCTAGTGAGTCGCGACGGAGCCGTGACCGTATATGGGTTCTGACCTGCGCCAGTCCTTCTACTCCCTGGCCCTGAACCGGCGGTACAGCGCCTTCGTCATGTCCGGCACGGCGATGCGCATGGCCATCGTCATGGGGTTGCACCTCAACATCCCGGAGTCTCAGCTTCGCGACCCGGACCTCCGCGAACATCGCAAGCGCCTGTTCTGGACGACGTACATCTTCGACCGCGTCTGGGCGTCCAAACTGGGGCATCCGACCGCCATACAGGACAGCGACATAGGCATAGACTTGCCGTCGGAGCCTGTTGCGAGCCAAACTTTCGGTGACGATTTCGGCGACACGGCCTATCATATCGCCAGTCTGCGTCTGGCAGCGCTCGTGACAAAGACCGTTCGCTCGATATATGGCCAACGCAACCAGGGAGACGCTACCCTCTCGACCAGGGTACAGCAGGCCCTGAAAGACCTCCGTACATGGGTGGAAGACCTGCCGAGCCACCTGCGAATCGACAACGCGGGCACGGAACCGACATGCATCTCTCTTCACCTCTCTTTTAACCAGGTACCCACCCCCCTCCCGGCGAAACATCCGAGAGACTGCTGACGATCCCCCCCTCCTTCACACAAGTGCGCAATACTGGCAACGCGTCCGATACTGCTCCACATCCTCCGCACAAAGGTGGCCGCGTGGCCGTCCGAGTCCCCGGTGACGGAGACGCAGGTGCCGGCGAGCGCAGTCACCCTGTCCGAGGCCTGCATCCGCTGCGCGCGGCACTCGGTGCGCCTCCTCACGGACTCGTGGATCGACGGGTCCTTCGCCACCTTTGACTACTTCTACACGCAGTACCTCTTCTCCGCCCTCACCGTCCTCGCCGCCTCGAGCCTGCTCGACGGCCCGGACGCCCGCGGCGACAGGGACGCCTTCGAGGAGTCGGCGCGCTTTCTCTCGCAGCTCGGGGACGCCGGCAACTTCGCCGCCCAGGAGTACTGCCACCACGCCGACGTGCTGCGCGCCGAGATCGAGAGGTTCCACGCGAAACGCATGGGCCCGCCCGAGGGGGGGCCGGGTGTCGGGCTCGGCCTCGGCACGGTGCCTCCGCAGTCCGGCCCGGCGATCCCCGCGCACGCGACGGCGGGCATGGCGCTGACGGAGCCGTCGCTGGAGGAGCTCCTGGCGCAGCCGGTCCTGGACCTGCAGTTCTTGGAGGCCTCCTTCTACGACGACCTGCAGGGGCTGTATTGGCCCGATTTCAGCACGGAGAACTGGGACACTTGGGCTTCGACATGAGAAGTCTGTGACGCCCCCGGTCCCCGTAGTGATGCCGACCTGTGTCGGTATTAGTTAACATGTGTCTTTCCTGGGAAACCTCAAATCGTCATCTTCGTCGCTGCCGGGATCATTTGAAATTTTTATTATTTTCTTCTTCTTTTTAATGGCAATAATCAGTACCCATTTCTCGGGTAACCTCAATACAAACTCGCAGGAACCGTTACCTCTTCCCTCTCTTCCAGACAAGCCTAAAACAGCCCCAGCAAAATGCGGTCAGTGCTTTGTGAGTATACCACCGCGAAAACCGTCCCGCCGAATTCAAAGCATCCAACGCGCAGTCCACGCCGTCGGGGCCCTCGCCTCACTGCGCGTGGTAGGCGTTGCCCGGCGCCTCGTGAACTTTGGGCATCGGGGGCGCCGCAGACAGCTCCGGCTGGGTCTGTGGGAACGAACCGCCGGTATGCGTTGCGCTCAAGGGCGTAGGCGACGCCTGAGGGTAGTGGTTCTGCTGCTGGGGCTGCTGGGCGGGGGGCGGTGTGAACGTCGGCTGCGGCGGCGAGACTTGTTGCTGCTGGAACTGCTGCTGCTGCTGGTGGCGGGGGGCGACCTGGCTGATGTAGTTTACATCGTGCTGCACGTACGGAGGAGCGTTTTGGGCATGGGCCTGGTCCGGGCCGGGTTTGAAGGTCGTGGCGACCTGCACCCCGTCCTTCTCGGGCACGGCGTTGTTGGCGACAACGGGAGCGGCAGCGGTATAGAAACCGACCGGGTTGCAGTGGAGCCCGGCCTTGCGGTGCCGATGAAGCATGACGCCGTGGATAGACAGCGACGTGATGAAGAGAGCGCTTGCGACCGTGTCAGCGGGGATTTTCCCTTGCAGCCGGCGTGATCAACGGGGAGGAGACCTACAATTCGAGCCCGCCGATTCCAGCCGCGGCGGCCATGCAGGAGGGAAAGATGACCCCGATATCCGAGATGTCTGCGATGTAGTACCGGCCGTAGTAGTCGTAGTAGGAGCCGTCGAACAAGTACACGGTCTGGGCGGCGAGCAGGGCGAAGGAGCACAGCCAGAAGAAGAGGAGGAAGATGTCGAGCGCCAGGACCGCCCAGTAGTTGTAGGCCTTGGGCGAGCTGAACTCGGCGACGATGAGCCAGACGGTTACGACCATGGTCGAGAGCGACTGCGGGCGTGTAGCATATGGTTAGCGAGCGAGCGAGCGCGAATATCCGAGGCGGAACCCCCCCTCCTCTGCCTCCCACTTACAACGAATATCATGAAGCAGTTCCCGGAAATGGGCGCCACGGCGATGCCGAACGCGCAGAGTCCCGTGACGATGACGGCGAGCACCAGCTGGACGATTGTGAGGGCGATGAACCCCTTGGGGTAGAGCGGTATGTGCTCGCGTCCCGCGACCCTCTGACGGGAATACCTTCTGTCGTTTTCCATTGCCGCCAGCGTCTGTAGCGAATGTAACCGTGTTTGATGTTAGGGGGTCAGACGTGGTTTGGTGGAAAGTACGGAGACCAGAGCAAAAACCCCGTTCAAGAGAAGCAAAAAGGCTGGCGATGGCGTACGGTGTCCAGCATATATGCGCGTATGACAGTGAAAAAGAGTACGGCATCTCATCCCCTCCCTTTGGGGACGGACCCCCTTGATCTTTTCTATCCCCGGCCTCCTTGTGCCAAAGGGTCAAGATTGGCAGCACAGAATGCCTTGAGCCCGTCATCTGTACACGACGCCACGGCAAGCCGCCCATGGGGGTTTCCCTACACCCAAGTTGCCCAGATTTGCGCCCGTGGCTTCCAGGGCTAGATCTCGTGGCTGGCGCGGCGTGGACCCCCAGACCTTGGGGGAGAGAGCCGAGTGTCGTGTAGGTGCGCTTTGGAAAAAGCCACACACGATGCTAGTCCAGAATCATGTGAGATCTATGCACAGTGTCTAGGACCGGTCGAATAGTTCGCCGCAGAGTTCGCGGGTCCTCAGGGCTTTGGGGCGGTGAGAACCAAAAGAGGTTCAATCCGAGAAAGCTTGTTCCGAGACATGGAGGGCTGTGACAGGGGAGCTAAGGAACCAGCAGCAGCAGCAGAACAAACGGTGCATTAGCGCCACAGGGCCGCTTAACGTTCTTGCAGAGCCAGAAACAGATGGCATAACGACGGGGGTTTGCAGGTAACCCGGCTTTGGATTGTCGTTTGTAGGGGTTTATTGTGCCTGCAGATGCAAGACAGCGGGCAGCAGTGGCTGCGGCTGAAGGCTGCGGCTAATGCTACGGCCTAGACACAAAAGAAGAAGTGCTTGAGATGCCGTATCAACTGGTCCTCATTGGGAGATGTGTGTCTGTAGGGTGTGGTGAGACAGACATACTTGAAAGGGTTCTATAGCCGGCTTAGCTGCGCAGCCCTATACGCTCTTTTTGTCTTTAACTACTAAGGCCTATATAAATATAAAATCCTTAGAAGTCTTAAGCTAAGGGATTTTAGTCCTAAATAAAGATAGTAAGTGTATAAGTATGTTGGTGGTGATGTTTACTTACGTGACCTCTGGCCACCGGGTTCACTAGCTTCTTCACCTTACTAGCCAGCAGCCCTTTTTCCTCCTAGTTACATATTACTAATACTACTACTATCTATAGTAATATTGTTGCTCCTCTACAGGTTATTGTTAAAGCGCGTAATTAGTAGCAATACCCTTATGATTAATTTCTCTGTTATATATATCTCCTACTATATTACGTAGCTATTACTAATTAGCCCTTTAAAAAGGGGTAAATATATAGATTATTATTTTCCCTTAATTTAGGTAGAGAAATCTATCTAAGAAATAACTAGCTTATTTATAGCTAATTACCCTATAAGTAACTATATATATCTAGCTAATTTACCTACTTTAATACGCCTTTTTAGATTAAGGCTATTCAAAGCCTTTAATCTAGCCTTTAATTAATAATATTTATAACTATAATTAATTATAATAGTTATAGTAACTATAAATTACCTTTATCTACCTATTTAGTTACCTAAGTAACTAACTAAAACTAAAGTATATATAGTTAAGTAGTATTACTTACTACTTAATTATAAGATAATTACTTAGTTAATAACTAACTAAATAAAAAGGTCTAGTCTTACTTCCTCTAATATTAGAAGAATAAGATAGAAGCGTGCTTAAGTACTCTAGGTCTCTATTTCCTTATAATTGCCCTCTTTCTTAGGAAATTTATCCCTAAATTTCTAGGTAGGTAAAAGTAAGTAGGCGTCCTTACAGGGCAAATTGCCTAGCACTCCTAACCAGCCGGTTTGCTAGAGGCCTGCCTAAATTAGTTCTAGGCCTGTCCCTTCTAGGCGTCTAGCCTGCCTTACTAGGTAGGCCTCTTTAGCTCTTACGCTCTCTGGCTAGCTCCTTAGCCTCTGCTAGTATTAGCCTATTAGCTAGAAAACTCTAATCTAGTAGGCCTTTCTTAGGCAGGCGCTATATAGCTCTTACGCTCTCTAGCTAGCTAGAAAATCCTATTCTATAGGTCCTATTAGGTAGGCCTTTATATATATAGTAAGGCTATACGCTAGCTAGGCGTATATAATAGTAGTTATATTAAGATTTAAACTTATAACTAGAGGAAGTAAGATAATTATAAAATAATTACTTAGTTAATAACTAATTAGATAAAAAAGTCTAGTCTTACTTTTTATAATATTAAAAGAATAAAATAGAAGTATACTTAAGTACTTTAGGTCTTTGTTTTTTTATATTAATAATATAATATAAAATAGTAACTTATATTTAAGCTTTTAGGTTTAATTCTAAGTAAAAGTAAAAAAACTTAATTATAGTAATATTTATAAAGCCTACTAACTTTATAATTAGTTAGTTAATAAATTATTTACTTAAAGCTATAAATAGTATAAAATATAGTAAATTACTTAAAGCTATAATAGTATAAAATATAGTAAAAGTAGATATTAATTTACTTAGTAAGCTAATCTCTTTATTTTTAAAATATAAATTACTAAGTATAAAGCTTAATTACCTTAAAATTAAAATTCTTCTTAAATATATTTACTAATTTAGCTAGTCTTTTAGTAAATAAAGTTTTTATTAGTTATTACTAAGGTAGTAATATAGTTAACTATATATATTAATAAGTAATAATAAATAATAAAGGTAAATACTTATTCTAAATTATATATAAAGAGAAAAACTATTAATATACCTATATAGTAAGTAGAATAATATAGTAAGTAAAACACTTTTACTACTTTTTTACCTTTTTAACTTTTATATTTACTTTTCTTAGTGTATAAATATAAGCTCTATTTCTAAAGAAAACTAAATTATCTTTACTTTTTAAGCTATTTAAAAAGACCTAAAAATGTCTTTATAAACAGCAGCTTATATCTTTAAGGTCCTCTTAATATCCCTTTATAACTAACGTAATAAATATATTATATAAAATAATATATATCTAAAATTAAAGAAAATAATAAAAGTAAAAAAAGAGGTAATTCTTAAGAGGGTTATTAACTTAATTAATTAAGGGTTTTCTTTATAATAAGATAATATATAAGATATAGCTAACTAACTCTTAAATAAATATAATATAATATATATTAGACTTTAATAAGTAAAGAACTTTATATAATAATAACCTTAAGTAGAAATAAAATTTTAATATTAAATTAACTATTTAAAGACCTTATCTAAAGACCTTATAAGTATATAAAGCTAGTTTATACTTATATAAAATATAATTATAAAGTATAAGATATATAATTATAATATTTATAATTTTAATAAAATTAGGTTCTTAATAAGAATACTATTATATATAAAGGTTATTATAACCTCTTATTATAAAAAAAGGCCTTATATAAAGTAGCTTAGTAATTAAGAATAGGTTTTTATTATTTAAGGTATATATATAAATAGCTAAGTAATACCTTTATATATTATTATAAAAAGTAAATATTACTTTTTTTCTTAGTACTAAAATAGCTAATTATTAGCTAAATAGTATATTTAC